TTCTTTTTCTCGGTCTTATTTTTCGACACCCTATGCGTCACTTACCACACAGAAACACGGTGCAAACAAGCTTAAAAAAACTTCAAGAGCGGTACAGGGATGTACATTTTGTTATCATCGACGAGTTTAGTGTAGTTTCATGTAGAATGTTTCATTGGATTGATCAGAGAATGAGAGAGATTTGGCCTCAGCAGCGTCATTTTCCTTTTGGTGGGCGTGATATTATATTTACTGATGATGCGGGTCAACTTGACCCCGTCGTCCCCTACGCATTATCGACACCGCTGGAGAAAATTCAAAATGAAGTGCAACGCAAAGGGCGTGAGTTGTGGGAAGAAATACCTTACGTTTGCATGCTAACAGATCAAAACCGAGGAAAGAGCGATCCCGAGTGGTTTAATGCGCTACGGCGCTTACGAAGTCGTCAACCAACCTCCGCAGATGTTGAATTATTCAACTCGCGCTGCAGCAGTAACACACCAGTACCCGACTGGTATACGAGAGCTAAGCATATTGCACACAAAAACATAGATGTCGATGCAGCTAACAATGAGAGCCTTCTCGCCAACGACACTCCCATAATTTATATAAATGCATTGCACCACGTCCAGCAAAAGCGTCTTCGTCAGAAGCGTGATATTCCAGAAGGAACTGTTTCCGCTCTTATTGATGAAGCTAAAACACCAAACAGTGATAGAGATAGAGTAGTTGCAACAAAGCTCATGTTGTGTGTTGGAGCTCCGGTCACATTAACTGTTAATCTCGAGCAATCAGCTGGACTTTGTAATTAGGCGAACGGAATTATTTATGATCTAATATTTTTCTGGCAGTGATCTCCCAATTATTCTTGTTAAGGTGACAGACTTGTACCTTGGTCCGTCGTTCTTGCAGGATGTCCCTAATATAGCACCGATAGTGCCCAGAGAAATTAGTTGGGGTAAGAAAAATAGTGACATGCGAGTTGTTCGTAGAGGAGCTCCGTTACGACTTGCGTATGGAATGACAATTCATAAGGTGCAAGGCTTGACGTGCGATAACGTCGTATTTCATAGCAGCTCTATTCCTACTGTGTCTTTCGCGTACGTAGCATTATCACGTGTAAAACACAGAGACTCCATTTTCCTCACGCAACCGCTAACACTAGCCAAGCTGGGTACACCAGCTGAAAAAAAATCAACTTTTGAAGCTGAGGAATCTTGCGTTGCTACAGCGGTCTCTAAAACAATGGAGACTGCTGCTCCGGTCACTCAAGCTATGAGCTAGGCTGCGCAACAGCACAGCGTTGCCGCGCTCGTAGACTTGCTGCGTGGCCCTAGGTCATATCAGCAAACCCAAGCCTCCCTTCAAGTCTCTCGCTTGATAGATCCTGTCATCATCATACCACCACCGTTCGGCTCTACTCTCATCTCATCTACGCTCAACTCCAATTGCACAGTCCAGTGCACAAACACGAGCAGATCAACTACGATATCGAGTGACTGAGCAACCATAGCGAGGATTCGTGGGAAGTCTACAGTACAAAGCAAATACGGAGCAAAATGTACTTCGAAATAGGCCAAAGAATCAACAGCGAAGGAATTTATACTATCAATCTCTTTTTATTATCGTTACGCTAATTTCTGTACGTGCACTGCCCACATTTCATCAAATTTCTCGAGAACTAGCTCATCAACTTGAATTTGTCGGACAACTTCGTCTCGTTGAGCCTTCAGAACGCTCGGAAAAGGCTTAATTGTTGCAAGATCATGACAACCCACATATTCAGCTTGATTGTGAGATTCAAGCGTCGTCACGGATGAATTTGAGGCGGTTTCCCCTGCGGATTCGACTCGGGTCTTTACCTGGTGACGGATCGCTGACGGTTGTCGTCGCCGACGACGTTGCAAAGCTTTTTGTTGCTGACGGTGACACTCACACAGCCAATGACGATTGCCATTCTTTTTTTTAGAGCACGAGGACGAGCGCACTTGCTCCTGTGGCCGCATTGTTGATTCTTCAAGCGGCTGCCAGATTTGGAAGTAGACATGTTCGTGCCTTGAGAAGCCGTCGGAGTTTCACTTTCACATAGTGAAGTTTCGGGTTCCATAGCCTGGCTTGAAGATGAAGATGTTGCTGCGTGTGCAAGAGAATTAACATCACGCGCTTGATCCTCCCCAGTTTTGCGTGAACTAGCAAATCTCTTCTGACGATCATATCGCTGGCGCTGCTCAGCATTCTTCAGCTGACGGTGTTGCTCGCAAAGCCAATGAAGCTCCCCATTTTCCTTCACCGTCCTCTCTTCCGAACATTTACTGGGGTGCTTACATAGCTTGAGATCAATGGTTTCTCTTGAACTTGGCGCTGTCACACTAATTCCTTGGACCAACGCCGCCGGAGTATGCTGTGGTAGTGGACTAGCAAGTTTTAGAGCACGACGGTTCTTTTTCTTCTTGCGAGCTTGTCGGAGGTGGGTCTCGCACATGAAGTGTAGCTCCCCGTTACGTATAGCTGCTGGCCCACCCTCGCATTCACCCGAGAACTTGCACTGCCACAGAACCCAAAGACCTGTACAAGCCTAGCCGTTAGCATCTGTCTCTCGTTAAGGCGATCGCGCACTGCTCACCAGGCATCAGTTCTCCTCTTTTGCTAGCGCGACGCAAGTGATGGCCGTATCTCCTTTTTGTCGAATGATTCGGTGCAAATGACTTAATGTTTGTATTGACATCAGGCACTTCGAAAGGGCGCGAAGGGGGGCGTCGTAAACTGGTAGCAATACCGGTTTATGTCGCCCCCCAAGCAACCCGTTTACCGGGATGCTCCTGTACTAGTATATTAAATGATGCTTCGTTTTTACAATAAGGGAGGAATTAAACTATTCAAATAGATTCGGTCCTATATGTCGCAATGTAAGTAGATAGTTGTTACTACTTATAGTAGATTGAGACAAAATCTACTTATATCTAAATTGGAGGACGAGAACAAATGTCGGATTAGATTAACGGAGCTCACAGAGCAAAGTAGGTACAGCATTTGGAAACTTGCAATGCCGCCGCCACGAGTCATCTGCCCCCTGTGCAGCCATACCAAAAATATCGGACCCGATGACCTTATCGGATCTGTGTTTTGCACACAGTTTACCTCAGATAGGTATGAGGTTTCGGGGAGTCAAACTCTGGTGTGAATGGTTAAAGTGTGGTCAAGCAGACTGTTTTATCTCTTCGTGTCCCACATCATGCAGATTTGCATTTGCAAAGTCCACGGGAGTCCAGTGAGTTTTTGTTGGTTTCACATCAATTTAAATGAAAATGGAGGAAAAATCAATTCAAATTTTAGTCCGGATTACTGTCGGTGTCGACGCCGGTGTTTTCGTCATCAGAGCTGAAAAGATCGAGTGTCTCTACGTGCTGCTGCTTGTTTCCTGGTTTTGACTTCAATCTTTTTTTTTCTTTCCTTGGTTTTGCAGCGTGAGGAAGGCACTGAGACCCCGAACGTACTTGAGTGACTCGATGGTAGTAGTCGTGGATGTCTTCGACACGTAGACTTGTTGCTGTACGGAAAATGAGTGATATATTTGCCGTGCGAGACGAATCATTGCTCCATCATCAACATCTTCGTTTTCGTATGCACACTTTATGTAGATAGATCTACAGTCGCGAATGCTTATCCGCTTCGTAAAGTGCTGGTACATCAGTTCAGAGAAATGTCTTGTCAGCATATTGTCTTGCAGATCTAGTTCGTTCAAGAAAAGTGTTCATAACTTGAATCGAAGTCACCCAGGAAAAGAGATCTCGCTACCAAAACGTCGTCGAATGCCAACCGATACTCGCGAGGAATGGCGATTACAACCGGCCCGTAAATGTGGGACGTCTTATACTTTGCCACACGTGAGTATGTAAACCCCAGTCTTTGACGAAATGTGCTTCACCTTTAGGCGACGATAAATCGATGTTCGCTGAGGAGGAATCCCAAACAAGAGTATCACCGGTACGCAGTGTAAATGGCTCTTGTAGGTGTGCCAACTCGAGTCTTTTGATGCGTCTGCTTTGGCTACTTTCTTGAACAGTATTTTATGGAGGTAATTTAAAAACTCAGCAACCTTCGGTAGGCTCTCGATGCGCTTTGACTTGGTATCATGATCCACGGCTCTCTTCTCCAGTTAGGTCCTGCTGGAGTGCTTCCATGACGTTTTGAGCCTATCCCAAACGCTTTATTCCATTTCGTGTAACATATCACCGTAAACAAGTTGCGATTTGAGCTACGATGTTGTACTTTGTCGATGGCTTGAGCGCACGTCCGTTGTTTGCCCTACCCAGCGAATTGCAAAAAATATTCAACTCCTCGACCTTTACGACATTCACACATTTTAGAGCATCCCCACCGGTATTGCAAAACACGCAGAATTACATCGTATAACACAATTGAACAAATCCACAGTCCCCACCGCTGTATGGATAGTGCGCACAAAGTAGCTCTGAAGTAACAACGTCGAATTGATTGCACACTACAGATTGTTCGAATTGAATAGCAGGCCGCTATCCCATTCGCCAGACGCCGTATTGCAAAGAACACGTAAACCCCTGAAACGACCCCACAGCTCCCTCCCGGCAGGTCCCCCGATATCTCTTCACTCCGGTGGCACCTACTGTCTCTATCGCCATGCCAAATGCTACCCAGTGGACTAAAGAAGATGGCGAGTGTCTTTGCCAAGCGTACACAAACATATCGGAGGATGGCGCCACCAGCACTGACCAGACCTCGGACCTGTTTTGGAACTCCATGTATACTGCGTACCAGCTCCTTTCAGGCAATGGGGCTACGGTTCGGAAAGCGGACGCCTTTCAGACCCACTGGGCCGGGCTAATCCGTCCCGACGTAGCGCTTTTTGCCTCGGCACTAACATCGGTAGGTCTTAGTGTTATTCTATTCCGATTTCAAATATATTTCGCATAATATCTACTTTGTGCAGGTCCAGGCAGAACATCGCAGCGGGTGGTCGGAGGAGGACAACATGGCTGAAGCTGAAAACTGTTTGACGGCGAAAAGAGAACAGCTTAACGCCAACACGTTGAAGTCATTTGAGGATGGTAAAAACAGGTCCGAGCGGAAACTCCGCATTCGCCTTGAAGCTTTTCGTCTTATGCATTGCTACAAGATTCTTAAACAAAGTGCCCGTTTCATGAGAGACGTGCCAACTCCTCGAAAACGTTCACGCTTGTCGGTAAATTCTATGGAAACGTGATCACGATCCAGGTTAGCGCTTCTCCCAGGCCTCGACCCCCCGTGCTTCTATCGTCTAGCCCTCGCAGTAGCCGACCTGTCATGGGTACAGAGCACAGTGCTGTCATGCTGATCGAGTTCATCTTTGATAGTGAAACTAAAATCTGATGCAGAATTATTGCACTACCAATAGACCGGTGGGGAGGCACTACTATTGCATTAGGAATTGTCTCGTTTTCGCGCTTTAGAACCCTACACGCTGCTTTCACTTGACACTATCAATATTGTAATTCGTCACACCGGTGGAGATGCTCTTAGCGGGTCGGATACAGCGTCGACAAGGTGCTGGTATTGTTCAAGTTCCTCCACCACAACTTGTCAAGGATTACCAAAGCGGAATGAGTTGTGCGGACACACACGACAAGTTGCGCCTACAGCAATATTCCATTCAGGTTTGTATCCTGTATTTTACACCATTAGTTGCTAACATTTTTTTGCTGTAGTAACGTGTCTTCAGTTCCTCTGCACGCCGAGGTTGTGGTCGACAGTGCTGACAACGCCGAGTTCCGGATGGCCGACAGGGTCTCACACGTGCCCTGCGCCGGCGCACGCCACTTAGATGACACCGCCTGCTTTATTGACGTACAAATATGCAAAAGATCTCCTACTTCCTCAATGTGCTACAGCTAGTCTCGTCGTACGAACTTCCAGCAACGCCCGACCGGTTGTCCGGGGCTCAGCGTGCACACGGGCACCGCCCTCTCTCAACCGCACTGACTCGGGAGCGAGTCTCCCTGTCCTTCCACCCGTCTGACACCAGATGCCGCACAACGAAGTCGTTCGGTGACCTCTTGTCTATCCAGTTCCAGTAGTCCCCGTAGCCGGCACCAACGCACCTGCTCCGAGTCCTATTCGTTTCCAGGTCGCTCTGTGCGACTGAGCTGGGTAGTTGGCCTCGAGCTCCGCGCTCGATCAAGTAGAAAGCGGTCTACTTGTACTCTACGGAGCAGATTCCAAACTGCCCTACTTCACATTCATCCATTCCGCCCAGTCGCCTGCCCAGGTTGAAGCTCGGTGTGGACTCGACACTTCTGAGTCGTACCCTGCCGCAGCTGCACAGGACTTCCATACAGGATCACTCTTTCAGTGGCCTGGCCGGCTTTCACCAGTCCCATTGCGTCCAGTCTGCCTTGTCACGCACAGCTGATATTCGGTGCTGCCCGTGGTGCCGGCAGCGGGCGCTATGCTCCCATCACACTGTATTGTACAGGGAGTAATGAAAATGAAAAAAAATACTATCATACGATATTCTTGGGCCTTGTGGATATGTCCCTAGTGAGCGCCTACATCATCTATTGCCACGAACTAAGCCGAAAGAACCCTAGGAAAGCTCCCCCGATACATGCTTAGTTCATGAGATTGATGCAGGCAGCTTTACTTAGCGTGGGGGCAGTTGATTTTGAGGGAGCCTTGAACGTGGAATCTTTAGCTGACCGAAGCTACTCGGCTCCACGCTATGCACTTCCAGTCAAGCACACATTGGAACATGCGGAATCGCGCTACAAGACAAAAGATGGTAAAGAGGGAACGAAGCGTCGTTGGCATGCGTGCAAGGTTTGCTCAGTACTGTGGGTTGATCGAGCTGCATGAGAAACCACTTACTATTGCGTCGAAAACTCAAAAGCCAAAGGCGAGGGTCCCGCGCGGATTCCAACACATGAGACAAAGACGGCAGCAGTAGCAGCAGCAGCAGTGACGAGTCCGAGGAGGAGAGTCGCGGGAAAATCTTCCTGTGTCAAAAAGTAAGACAACATGACCCCGATGGACCAAAGAATTCAGCTACTTGCAGTCAAATCTGGCACGACCTCTGGATAGGTGAAGCATACATACCTCCCGTAGCCAAGACGATTCTCTTTCGTGCACCAGCAGGCGCTACGAACGCCGCCCAAAGTCGCGCCAGCAACTGAGACAGCGCGGTGGAGACTGCTAGCTGCAGTGTAGGACCAAGATATAGTTGCGTCATGTTTGCTTGCTTGATATAATTGTGAGCGATATGACTATCCTAAATTTCGAGAAAATTGTCTACGAAGCATGTGCTCTTGTCCAGGGCAATGCAGGGTATGTGCTCAGGATCGGTCCCAGCTATCTTGTTTTTGACAGGTTTTCAACAGCAAAACAGCAAATCCTAGCGAAAAAAACTCCGCTAATACTCCAGCTCATATATTATGTAATCCTGTATCATACAGGGTAACTTTTGCCCAAAAAAAGGCGGGGCTAGAGGGGCTAGAGGGGGTTAACAGCTAACAGCCTCTCTCTCAATCCACGTCGTTGTACTTAGCAATATAATGATTTCATTTATCTAAGCTCGATGGAATAACTGTTAGTTAAACATATTGTATTTTTACTTACGAGAAGCATATGAAGAAAAGTAATTGGTCGTTCACCCAAAAACGTCAACTAGTCGCATTCACAATGAACACTCTGAGTTCGCTTTCCGTTCTGATTCTCGAAGCTGTGTATGATGGTGATCCGGCAGGAATAACAGAATACTGGAAACGCTTTAGCAATGATGCGTTGGTGCACATTGACCGCGGATACCGACTGGTTGGTCTGGACTGCCACTACCATTATGGTGAAGTCGCGGAGTACCCTCGCGAACAAAATTCTGCACCAACTGTTACTTGTATGGAACAGTTGATTGCTGCCACAACAAAGGGGCCGTTGTCACCTACGACGGTGTGATCAGGAGTGCTATTGAATTCTCGTATCTACCGTGGGAAGTCTTCAGCTACTCCTATCAATCTATATTCGTGTATGGACCCCGTAGTGAATTTACTTTATACATTCCGGAATCAGCTAAGCATGAGCTGATTAAGATAATTGTAGGATGATAACGATTTGTCTTAAATTTAATTATACTGTCTAGAGTCAATGTACTACCAAGCGCATGAATCCTCTCAAGAAGCAAAGTGGTCTCTTTGGGCAAAGGTGGTGGCCATGCTTATCGCAGTAGGATTAACGATATCTATCATCGTTCGTGTACCTAGTTTAGTCAGTAACTAAAATTTTATTGCAAGGGCAACATCGTTCTCAGAAAACTCCGTGAATACCGCAGGTCTGTGCGCAGCAAAATTGACATTCGATATACGTAGTATATACCTCACCCAAACTCAATGTCTTTTTCGTTCGGTTCAACGCAACCTGATTTGATACCGTGGAGATGCGCACGATGGTGGGTTTTGGATCGCCACTGCCGCCAATACCACAAGAGAAGATCCTAGCTATGAGAAAAGTTGGATTGAAGTGCAGCGCGATTACTTGAATGTTCAGATGAATTAGGTTGATGTACACGGCGAGTATACAACAGCAAAGCAGAAATGAGAAGCAGCTCAAGCAAGGAACCTTACAGCGAAAAAAAATATATACATAGTTGGGCAGAAATGGAAAGAAAATCAGGAGTCAAATACATAGTTCACGAAAGTGATTTCTTGATTTGTATCGTCGTCAGAAAATTATCATTCAGCCAAAGTGAAAAGCGGTCGAAAACAGTTTTAAAGAAAACGTTTTATAAAGAGCTCAGCAAAAAAAAGCGATGGACGTAAGATACTTTTTTAAATGACTTTTTTGTTTCAGCCTCCATGCTAGCTACAACTTAGTGGCGCCAAAGGGTGCAGGAACCATCGCACTGATTGATGCACGCCTCGCAAAAGACACGACGGCCAGCAAGTAATACTGGTTCTGTAAACGGCTCAAGACAGATTGAACATGTAGTAATATCTACGTCTCGAGGAGGACTAGGAGTGTTGGACTCGGTTGTGATGCCATGATCATCCTTCCAGTCGTCTTCCCAACCATATGAATCAGCGATTTCTTGAAGATTTGCCGTTATGGTGCCTGATGATGTTGCTGCTGCTCTGTCTATAAGCTCAAAGCGATTGCTTGCCAGAAGTCCTCGCCGTCCTCGTCGTCCTCCTGTTCAGTACACATCGACTCGGAATTCACTCCATGTTCGACACCGACCGGTTTGTATGATGTACTAACGTACAAGGTTTCACCCTCGGCACCTAAGGTTCGTGTGAAGTACTGACGGGATAGGTTTGACACTCGCACGATTGATCACTGGTGTGATTGGTCGTGATACGTGTATAGCTCATGGCTATTATTATCTAACTCAAGAAGCGATTTTGGGCTTAAAAACATCTCTCGTAACTCACAGCAATCATTGACAATGTCAATACCGCCCATTGATATCGTAAATGCGTTCGTTCTGCGCCAGGGTTCTCCCAAGGAGAGCTCCGTTTTTTCATATTGTAATTTTTCAAAACTGAAATTCAAAAACAAAATTTATTTTATGTTGCTACGCCCCCTGACGGTTAATTAGCTGCACTAAGCCACACATAACCTGCGCGGTGGTAGCCTCCCGTGGGAAGTACCACGAGTGCCACATATACTCGACCAAATAGCCATCGAGGGCACTCTTTGTCATACCTTGCATGACTTTGATGAGGCGTTTGATGTCGATCTCCCACAGGCCTTCTATAGTGTTTGTATGTGTTCCAGTCTCTGGTTCCACGTAGTGTTCTGTGTGGTTCACATACTTGTGCGTGTAGTTCAAGTCCTGAAGAGAAGGATGGTTGGTGAGCGTTCTGATGAGCACACCGCGCTTAGGCTTCCTTTCGGTAACGTATGTGGCGTACATGTCCGAGTAGAGTGTTGCCCTTTATGAAACCCAAGTTAATTTTGATACAGTGATGTATATGTCATAACGTACAGAACACTCGAAAATACCCAGGATTGATAAACTTGCGAACAACAGGAAATAGCTTCTTTTGGATTCTATCTGTGTCAACAATTCGGCCAAACCACTGTCCAGAAGAGCGGTCCACTCCACCGACGAGCCAATACTCCGGGAAGTGTCGCCCACGATTGTGTTTGCTCTTCTTTTTTAAGCTTGTTTCATCAATTTCGACAATGTGGCCCACACCACCAATCTACAAGTACAGTAACCATACACGTTAAGAGCGCCACAAACACATTTGAACAGAATATAAGCAGTACATAAAATTGATCGCTAAGCAGCTGCTTTGAGCAGCGACATCGGAGATAGCCGTACCAACCCTCCACTGTAGTCTCCGGCACGTCCGCTATCTCCGCAGCGTTGGCGTGCGACGCCCGCATGCACCATGCCTACAGTAGCCGTGCTGCTTGGGCTAGCGACAGTTTCATCCCAGAAAACCAGGTATTAGTTAAAATACTCAGCCTTACCTCCCTACCGTCATCATGACATTTCTTGCGGCAGCACCGCCAGTGTTTCGTCTTTCCGGATACCCTTAAACACATGGGCTGCTGGCATCATGGACAAAACAGAGAGCCCTCTAGAAGCCCTGCTTGTTGCCACCACTCTACCGCTCCCACCTCGTCGCTCGTCGCCTCGATGATTGATATGAAGGTGAAGTGCTCCATGTTGTGGAGGGCGTAGCGGTGGCTGGTTGCGCTAGGCATTGTACGGGGATGGGATGGGCGAGGGAGGCTAACAGAGTCTGGTGCAGCGCGAATGCTTTGTAAAATGAGGGAGTGAGTGTGCTAGCGGGATGAACGTCTGGTAGGAAGGGAACGGGGGCATTACCGCGTTCACATACAAAAGCCTAGTAATTTGTTTTTGCGTACTTCGTGTAAATGTTGTCAAAACGGAGGCATAACACTGTTATTTGCAAATTCGAGTCATGGGCAAATCTTGTGTGACGCACACTGGTCAAATCACTAACAATGAAAATTTCATTTTTAAAAATTACAAATAGAGAAAACGGAGCATTCCTTGGGGAGAGCCTGCGTCAGTACTCTTGGTTCACTGTCTCAACTTTTAATCACAGTGTTAATTTTTTCTTCTATCGCCGTTTTGCTTGTGATACATTACTTTTTGAAACACCAATTTTTTTTTTGACTTCTGATCAGGCGGTGTTAGCTTATGGTCGGAATTGATAACATATATCAATATCTTCTTGTGAACTAATGAGCTTTGATTATAGTCAAAAAGGTGAATCTTTGGGGGGGGGGGGGCAGACTCAGTCAGTCTAACCACAACGGGTTCGATTGTTGCTATGGAGCTGAAGAGAATGGTAATCGTTGCGTGAAATCTGGCGAAATCAAGTCTGACGATGGCTCGTACTACTGCGGAATTCGTATTCGTAACGTGTTAAACGAGAACGCTCCTGTCCAACATATAGTGCAGACTCCCCCACAACCAATGAGTAATATTCCCCATGACTCCAGCGGAGTTAAAGAGACAGGTGGGAACTGCAGAAACAAGGGAAAGTATCAGCATGACGGCTCGTACTTGTGACGTGCTCACGATTTGGGAGCTGGAACTCCCGTTAAGCTAACGTTTATTGCTTAACGTTGCTTGGTTGCTTGGCTACTTCAATGTCAATTGAAGAGTGAGCTACCTAATCTAGTTCAGGACGCACCCCATGACGGAGCCCAGGGGATGCTGTCCTTGTGATCCACGTTGATTGCAGTTGAAGTGCAACCGGCTGCGCGCATCATCCTGTCACGCCTTCTGGAGCAGCACCTGCGAACAGCACCTGGAGACAGTGCTCTTACAATAAAATAAAAAAAATGTACTGGGCTTCACAGAAGCACAGAATAATCATTGCAATATACCGATCCACAATAATAAATTATTCAATTATTATGCTGTATTGCAAGGGTCAGGACGGGGCAGTGGTGTGAGATTGACCCTATCACGCCACTGGCTTGGGTTCGAAGCCTACAGCTGCAGAGAAGGCTGGTGACTATCATCCAAGCTGGGTTCTTTCAGCCAATCAAATATAGCCGGCGACGGCAAGATACGAGCCAGCCTGAGCAGCAGTTTTGTTGGGCTCTGAAAGAAAACATAGAACTAAAATTGGACGAACACAAAATAAGGAGTCTAAACCTTTTTCTTCGGCAGCGTTGTAGCTCTCAAGTTTCTCGTGCGCAAACTACTTTCTAAGCATCATCAATGCCAACAAGCGAGGTGAAAAAAATGCTCCAAAGGTCGCGATTCGCTCGTAGAAACACGAGCATCTCTAAGTTCGCTGGCAGCAGACTTGACCGCCGTGGGGTGAGAATCAGCTTGCACTGTGAAAAGAGGCGCTCACATCGGTTGCTAGTCGGTGGTAGTTGGTTCAACAACTCTTCGTACTTCTGTGCTGGCGCGTGAGGCTTCTTGGCTTGTCGGAGTGTGGCTGTAGCGAAGTCCACCTGCTTGGTCGGCCGGGCTGAAGAAGGTTGGACGACCAGAAAGGGCTCCACAGCAGCTTCTTCGTCCGCTTGAAGCCTGCGATCACCCTGAACTTTGACGACGGCCCGCTCAAAGACAGGAGAGTGCACAATACTGGCATCAGCCTTGAGGTAACTTGCCGTTACCGGGTACTTCACCACCACGTCGTCGAAAAGGAGCCGGACGTCAGCAAGCGCTCTGCAACTTTACGCATACGCTGTCAAGGTCACCCAGCTTGCTCAGAAGCTGAACAATGCGGCGGTGAGAGTTTGGTCGTGGCACTAAATCTTCAACAGCTTGCACCATCTTGATAGCGTCTCGAATCTCGACGTAGCGCTTGAGCATCTCGTAAGTAGATGACCAACGCGTCACGTTGGCCTTCAGCGGCTTGAGGCTCGTGAACGCTGCCAGCGCAGGGCTGTTGTTTGGGTGTCGCAGCTGGATGCACAGAGCTTGAACTTCAGCGATGAGGTCCTCATACTCGGCGAGATACTATCAAACCGCCAGATTGAAGCGGTGGCTTGCGCAGCCGATCAGGGGAACCTTGAGCAGAGTAGCGATAGCCTTGTTCGTCGGGCAGTTGTCGCCGACGACGAAGCGCAGCATCTCTCGGTTCTTTTCGTAGACACCAAGAACGTTGTCGATCATATCGATGTGAGCATCGGCCGACTGCCCATCCTCAGCCATCGAAATAGACAGCAGAGGCTGTCTCCGCATGCCGTCGCGAACACTAACGCCGACGATGCCAACAAAGTGGACTGTTTGCAGGTCCATCCGTCGAACATCAAACCGAAACTGTCCCCGAGAAGCCCAGCGATGGCAGCACCCACTTGCGAGGTTACGTGACGCATGTGGCGAAGAAGCGTCTGGGATGACACGGGCTTAATCCCAGCTAGACCCCGCGTCAGCGTGTCATCCACCTCCGATAACGGAAGGTTTCCCATGATCACCCACTCCATCCACTTGAATATCTCCATTGTCCTGGCGTCGACGAAGCCGTGGTTCTGAAGCGTCTGGCCTTGTTGACTAGCCTCGAAGACGGCGAGGTGGTCTGGGTGCTTCGTCGAAAGATGACTGAGCAGGTTTGAGTAGCCGGACCCAGGAGCTTCTTTGCGACTCGTATTGCACTGCTGCACGTGAAGACGCCGTTGCCGCAATCCATAAAGTAGAAGTTACACACGCTGCGAGAAGTCGACATGGGCCCGAGAGATTGGAATGAAGAATGAGAGTAAGTCTTCCGCTACCAGACGACTAACTAGAACCTCCCAGAACCACCAACGTCGAGGCACCTTTACACCAGTCAACTAGTAAGAAATCAATACAGTAATTACGGGGAATTTTTTTTATATTTTACAGACTTTTATGAAAGCCAATAATAAATTATTAAATAAATAGAATGCTATAATAATTGTATTATATTTATTTTTCAGAGCACTGCCTGGAGATCTGCTTAACTATAGCTGAGCAGTGATCTCTCCAACGAAGTTGGCTGCGGGTTGGAGGAGCTGGTGCAAGTGATCTTGCATTACATCACAGTACTACTGCAGAGAATACTTTTACTACTGCAGAGAATACTTTTACGTCCTAAAGAAAGAGAACGCTTCTGTCCAACATACAGAGCAGACTCCTCACAGCCAATGAGTGACATCCTGGATCCTTCTCTGTCGTCGCCAACTAGTCCCCCCCCCCCCCCAGGGGTTCCGAAAATGCTATTGTTATTTGGTTCGTGAATGCAGCAATACAAATAACTTTGCATGTCTTCCTTCAGAGTTGACTGCAATAATTGGACGTATTGCAAGCAATACATAGACGTTTGTGTGTTGTATGAATATTGTGAGCTTATTGCGTGCCACGGACGACCTTGCGCACTGTTGCTGCGCTCCAGTACGAGCGGTTCACCTTCAGGAAGAGGATACTTTCTAGATGCAATGGAGTCATGGCTTGGCGGTGCATACCAACTACTGCCTTCGCTTGACTAAAGAATCTCTCGACGACGTTCGAAGTCGAAGCGATCACAGCTACCTGATCGTTAAAGCGTGAAGTAGCTTGACGAAGCCGTCTCGCACGCTCGAGCGTAACAGCGGCGAATCCTTCATCGAGCGACGTAGTCTCCGAAGAGCTCACCAGTGGGGCTGCTTCCGCGGCCAGCGGCTCCAGCATAGCCTTGTCGTCGTCACTCAG